AATTTTTTTGTTGATGTACACTTTTAGGGTTAATCGAATTTAGTAATTAAACATAAAAATCAATATGATACCTAAATAATAATAATCACTTCAAATTCGAAAAAGATATAAAAATTTAATTGATCTTGACATATGAATATGAAAAGACAAAGAGATTGACGCATTTGAGGAACACTTGATAAGAAAGTGATTATACAACCCATTATTTAAGGTTAATAAATATGGAGCACTTCATATTCTATTAAAAATTATACATATCACGTAAGAGAATCCCTAATATTTCTAGACATTTTAAAAGAAAATTCTATATAAAATCTTTAATATATATATATATAAATTATATATTTATATGTCGGTTTGGTTCGAATTTTTTTACTCAATACCAAATCAAATTAAACCAAACCTAATCGGGTTTTTTAATCAGTTTGATTTGACTTTTTGATTTGGTTCGGTTTGTACACTCCTAATGTTGAGTATGGTGTATTTATTTTCTTATAACTTTTGTCATTGGGTTTTAGTTCGTTTCTCTTTCATTTTCCTCTAAACAAAGATGAATTAAAAATTATGTTCATTGAATTTGTAGAGTAACAACCTGATGACATTGTGATTGATTGTAGCCTCATTGAATTAACTGCACTTTCTCCTATCAATCAAGATATATCAATTTCATTATATGCAATCAAGAGTTTTTTACTTTTCGGAAAGTAAATCCAAAAGGTAAGAGTTTAGATTATCTTTCTCTCTCTTTCTCAATTCGAGTTATAGGCTTTGGTTTGTTAATTTGTGAATTTAGGGACAAAGTTAGGGATTATAGAAATGTAACAAAGGAAGAGATAAAGAAAAGGAAGAGAATATAGACAAAAGAAAAGTATTAGGAACTAGAGCACTTGATACTATCAGCGTTGGGATACATTAATTGTTGTTTTCTTTTTGCTTTAAAATTTATATTTTATTGTTGTTTAAATGTTAATCCCATTGAACGTAGATGTCAATAATTCTTAAGAATTAAAAAAATAAAAATAAAAGCATGAGGAAAAAAAGCAAAGAACATCTCAGGGTTGCATTATCCAGATTTTTACATATCATTATTTTGCTTTCATATTTCTTTAAGTTTTATGTATCTTTTATCCAAGTATATATATACTAATTAAATGGGTTATTACATTTAATTTGAAATGTTTTTTTACAGATTTTTCAAAGAATTTACAAAGGGTGTGAAAAGAATCATCAAAAAATGATAAAATTTTCCTATTATTGACCGCGTGTTACGTCTAAACATGACTTTGACGATGAGGGGGAAAAAATCAAGATTGTATATTTTCTACAATATTACCTAGAAGATCATCGTAAACTCAATATTTGTCTTAATAAAATTATTCACATAAATCGTTACAATTAAAACTTTAAAACGATGTTTGATCAATCACTTACTCACACACATCGTCACAGACGAATAGTTATGTTTTATTTGCAACCTGTGCCCAATCACTATATTTTTTAGCTAGAATCACTAAACGTAAAGTTCAAATTTAATAGTGAAATCCCCTAAACGTATTGGTAAAGACATGATTACGTTGAGAAATGAAGGGTTGATGACCTATACCGTAGTATTACTACTATTATTTATGCTTCTTCGAATACCTTATAATATTATTATTAGCAAAATGAACAATTTATGTTCAAAAGTTAAATTTCCTTTTGTTCTCAATAGTGGTGGCAAAATGGATGAAAAAAAAGTTATTCACTCATATTATCCATTAAAAAATGGGTTAGATAATGAACTTTTTAAAAATGGGTCAAATATGGATAAGAACTATATTATCCACTTAGAAAATTGATAACCAATGAGTATAACGTTTGCATTTGTAAAGCCTCAAATTGGGGGGTCCTCAAGTTTGGGATACTAGAAATTCTCCAAAAAGTGATCATATTCAAGAAGTCATGGATAATATGAATATCCATATTATCTATCGGTTAACCTATTTTTTATCCGTATTAAATATGAGTCGGATCGGATAATTTATCCGTTTTTGCATTACCCATTTTTTACCCATCTTATATCCGTCTCGCCCCGCCCCTTTGCCACCCCTAGTTCTCAAGTAATACTGTAGAAAAGACAAAAAAACAGAAATTAAGACTCATTTTCAGCTCAATTGGAATACGGAAAGCCTGAGTGAGCGTTTGGACATAAGAATTCTGAACTTCCAGAAAAAAAGTAATTTATTTTTTTCAAGTTGAAAATAGTATTGAAAATTAGAATTATGTTTGGACACAAATACAATTTTGAACTATTTTTGAATTTTTTTGAGTGACTGAAGTGAAAATTTGAAAAATAATTTTTTGGAACTTTTCAAATTTCGAAAAAAATCGGAATTCAACTTCAAATGAAATTTAAAATTTTAAGGACCAAACAATGATTTCGTAAAAAAGTGGGAAAAAATAACTTTTTTATGCCAAACGAGCCCTAACTTAAATTCCCTTCTCCCAAGAAAAGGGAAAAGAAGAGTACCTACAAAAGTGTGGCTGCGGAATGGCCTGTCATTTCATATAAAGGGGAAAAAAGGGAAAAACATTCAAACGAAAATTGTGGCTGCTGGGATTCGAGCCCAGGTCTCCACGGCCACAACGTGGAATTCTCACCACTAAACTACAGCCACATCTGTGGAAATTTGTGCTGAATTCTCAATACTAAGTTAATAACAGTCAACAACATCTTGTTACTGTACCTAATTGGTAAAAGTGTTCAAATCAAATCACCGGATAAAAAAACAAATATATTTGATAAAAAAATCGAAATACACTGACATATAAATATATTATTATATATTTTTAAAACTTTATATATGATTTTCTTTAAAAGTACGTTTAGAAATATTTTTGATCTCTCACGAGATGTAATATTTAATAGAACTATTATAGTACGTCCATTTTTATGTACTTTAATAATGCTTGATTCTAACATTTTTTATTAAGTGTTGTTGAAATACTTTGATCTCTTAATGCTTCCATATTCACAAGTCAAGATCTATTAAACTCTTATGTCTCTCTCGATTTTGAGATAAAATTTTATTAGTTTTTCCCATTTTTAGTCTTCACTATGCCTACTTATTTTTTTCTTAATATCTTAACACTTGCACTAGTACCACCACCATCACATTCATGTCATTTGTGCTTTATTTCTAGTTTGAAAAATAAAATTGGTAGGTCACACCCTGTAATATTTGAATATATATTGAAATATGAAACACGTGTTTCCGATCTTTTCTTATTGTTCTTGGATTTTTAATAGGTTAGTATGATTTATGGATTGTTAACTTATCTTTTCTCCTCATAGATAGTTTAAATTCTGATCTTTTCTTGTTTTACTTATGAATTTTTTCTCCTAGTCTCATTTTCCTTCATTTTTCATTAATTTTGTTTGCTTTCTTATTAGAGAGTTGTTTTCTAGGCCTAAATTTTCAAAATCCCAAACTTCCTTCTTAAAGTTGCTTAAATTGCTTAGACGAATAATGTAAAATTATAAATGTAACTGAACATCAAAAATACAAGTGTTTGTTGATTTTTTCTACTTGACATGTTTGATGGTTCATGGATTTGTGCTCTATTTTACTGCCTACTACACGTATTACTATGCTAAGTTAGGATACAAAGACCCTACTATTGTTGTGTAGGCTATCTAAAGAATGAATGTGAATAGAAGGATGTGACTTCTTTTGAATATAAGAATATTGAATGTGAATAGAAGGAGGTGACTTCTTTTGAATATAAGAATATTTCTTATTGTTCAAGGCTACTATGCATACTATACTATTTCCTATTAGTTTTAAGGCAGCATGTTAGTATTTGAATGTTTTTTGCATATCGAATATGAAAAGATACCTTGGATAGGAAAAATGATATAGCTTTATTGGCATTTTTTAAAATCAAGTGGAGTATGTTATTATTTAGATTTCGTGTTGATCTTGTGTTTAATTATTTAAAAAATTAAGCTTTAAATAACATATGAATGAAAGCATTGTTATAAATTTTTCTTTTTAAAATTTATCATATATTATGAAAAAAATTCTCCTATAAAAATATTTTAATAGATTATATATTTATCAATTTGTTCGTCTTACTAATAGCATGTTTGGCCAAGCTTGTAGCAAGCTAAAAGCATTTTTTTGGAGTCAAAAATTCTTGTTTTGAAGATTTGAGGTGTTTGGCTTAAATTAAAAAAATATTATTGAGTAGAAACAATTTTTCTGTTGTTAAGGAGAAGTTACAAATTTTTTATTCTTTCAAGAAGCAAAAGCAAAAAATTATTTTTTTGTAAGACAAAATTATCCTTACAAAAATTATATTTACTAAGCTATTTCTCCTTAATTGAACCTTTATATCTCTATAAATCTTTTATTTTCTTCCCTCTTGGGTTTAACCACATTTATATTGATTAAAAACTTTATTAATATCTTTATTTTATGTTGTAAATTTTAACTAACTAAAACAAAAAATCAAATAAATCTTTCATAAAAAAGTATTTAAAATTATTTCTCTAGTCAAATAATACTCGTTGCAAAATTAACTTGATAAAATTGACAAAACACAATCTCTCTATATACTAAAAAAGAATATCTCAAATGAATGCTTCTCTCCATAATAATATTTTGGAAAAAATTATTTTAACAAAAGTACTTCTCAAAATAAGTGGTTTTTAGAAGTTTGATAATATGCTCTTAAATATAGATTGACTTATTATCCATAACTCTAGTAAAAAGAGATTGAATTTATATTTTATAAGGAAAAAACTAAAAATACAATAAAACCGAAAAAAATGAACCAATAAAAATTAATTTTGATTTTAGTAAAAATCGAACCACAAACCCAAGTACCCTTAAAAAGGGACTATAACTGTTAAGTTGTATATATGAAGGACAAAAATATATCAATCCTAATACATTAAGGACTATATTGATTATGTTTTCAAAATCTAGGTACCGAAATATAGTTTTGCTTTTAGAAAAATGTTTGGGACAGTAAGCGATTGTTCCCGGCCGCCAATTAAATCGACATCACTCTCCAAGCTCCAATCCCATCTCTTTCTCCGGCGAGCTCATCGGAATCTCCTTCTTATTTCCTGCAAAGTTGCGCTGTAAGCTCCTTTTATCATGTGATTATTTTGGATTTTGGGTGTGAAAGCCATAAATATCAATTTATACACCAAATTATTCTAATTATCTAAACGACTTAATTTATACACCATCTCATTCAATGCATTGGTGTCATTTAATTTGAAATACTAGGTTCAATTTATGTTATGACTTGATAGTTAGCTCTGCTGTCTCAAAATTACAGGATTCGTAGCACAAGGGTCAAGCTGTCTAATTTTCCATTATTCGATCTCCAATGTTTTTTTAAAGATAAGATTGAAATATTAGAAACTAAATAATAGTATAAGTCACAAATTTTGTTATAGTTAAATGTATTTGAAAATGTATGGGAAAGTTATAGTCAAAGAGAAAAACTAGTTGAATTAGAGTTACCTGTTGCTGGTAGGAGGTAGCAGGTATTCCGTGGAAAGTCGAGGTGCGCACAAGCTGGTCCGGACGCCACGGTTTTAAAAAAAATGGTTGATTCCCCATATAGTAATGTTCTCATATGAAATGAAACAGATGGAGTCTTTTTCGTCTCTACCAAGCTTGTTAGATAGTAAAGAGTCGTGTGCACATGCAATTTGTGGTAGTGTTGAAGGCTATTCAAATGGCAGTGAACATCTTTTTAAAATAATTTATAGGATTGGAATTCACCGGAATAACTTCTTTTGTATGGCATATTGCTGTCAAATTTTTCTCTTAAATGTTTATCTTTTTATGTTTACCTGCACTTTAAGTATCTCATGGTAAAGTGTAAATGTTTAAGCTTCTGTATTTTCTGAATAATGTTGTATTGAGAAAAATGTGCAGCTCGAAACTTGGGCCTAATTGGCTTGACTTGCTGTCATCCTCAAATTTTGGAGCAAATGACCCTATGTAATTTTGTGTCAAACATGACCTTAAAATGATCCATACCTTCATATGAAGTTGTTAATTGTTACAAAGCATGTGATACTGTTTTCAGGACTTGATTTCCGAGTGTAATCAGATCCTAAGATGACAATTTCTTACTCTCCTTGCTTTCGGCCCCTGAAAGTTTTCCCTAGAAGCAATCATATTCGTTCTAGCGGCACTCAGACCTTCAAACGGTATAATGTAGTGGCATGTACTAAAAAATCACATGAAGATATCAGTCTTGAAGCAAAGGTATGCCTGCAACAACGTTTTAATATTGTTCATCAAAGTTTCTTTTTTTGCGCTTTTTGAGGAAGCAATATTTGCACTAGTTCTATTTTGGTATTCAGTAGATACAGAAGCCACGCGTTTTGTGTTTTTGGTTTACCATTATCTATGTATAGCTTGTCTATGAGTTATTTTGTAGTTAATTTATATGTAAGACATAATCAGGTGCGTGTTGTGTCCATTATGGTGGATATTTGTTACATGCCTGGGAAACAAAGGCCAGGATTATAAAAATAGTAGTTGAGTTCCTCGTCTATCATTCTGATCTCTCTTCAAGTGTTCATCGAGGCCCAATAATTCGTTCATTATTGAGCAACATTCGGATGCTAGTTGCCCATCACGATTTAACTAGAACATTAGACAACTATATTCTTCTTTAGAACACATGATAGGTTATTAGATATCATCGTAGTTAGGTGTCTACAGTGTGCACTGTGCCAGTACTTTACATGCCTGGAAAAGAAAAGGTAGCAAAGAAGAAAAAAGTCGATGAGCTTCTCATCTGTCACTTTGATCTCTCTTGAAGTGTGTTGTTTTTCTCTGTTGCACTTAGCCACTGATGGTTTATGCTGCACTTCTGGCGACGTACAGTTTCTTGCTCTTTGAATTATGCAACACCTTCCCTGCAAAGGCTAGTTGAAATGTCTTCTATTTATTGTCCTGGAAGGATGAACATATCATATCGCCTTTCCTTGCTGCTTGTTGTCTCTTGTCTGATAACAGCACTTCAGGTTGATTTCTTATTAGATAATGTCAAATGGGACGACAAAGGCCTGGCAGTTGCAATAGCCCAAAATGTTGATACAGGAGCGGTCTTAATGCAAGGGTTTGCCAACAGAGAAGCTCTGTCAACAACCATCTCATCACGTAAAGCAACATTTTATAGCCGGTCACGTTCATCTTTATGGACAAAAGGAGAGACCTCCAATAATTTTATCAATGTTTTTGATGTCTTTCTTGATTGTGATCGTGATTCTGTAAGTTTCTAGAATCCCTTTTTATAATTAAATTAGAATGCTTTTGATTGCATGTGCCTTTTTACTGAAAGGATAAACATAACTTCCTATCAGATAATATATCTTGGGAAGCCTGATGGCCCAACATGCCACACGGGGTCAGAGACATGTTATTACACATCAGTTGATGGAATCCTGAAACATTCTGAGGTTCATCGCATTCTGCGGCTTCTCTGTTTTAAATATTATCATCATCTCATGAATTAAATGAAAATAGTTCATCTTCTTCTACCGAAAAATGGTCTATGTCAACCTGCTTAAGATGTATTAGTTGTGCTAGGTTGAGAAAAATGAGCTGGCTATGACGACTTTATACGCATTAGAATCTACAATCAACGAAAGGAAAGCAGAAACATCTAGTTCTTCAAATGGAAAACCCTCGTGGACGAAGCGATTGTTGCTTGATGACAAGTTGCTTTGCTCCAAAATTCGGTATCTTACTTGACATTCTTGATCTTATCATTGACTTATCTTCAGAAAAATAGCTTTCCCTACTCCCTATAGCATGTATATTTCTGGTATTAAATTGGGCTTGATGGTTATTACAATTTTCTTCATTTCTTGCAGGGAGGAGGCTGACGAGTTATGCCGAACTCTGGAGGAAAATGAGGATAAAGGACGGACTGCCTCAGAGATGGCAGATGTCTTGTATCATGCCATGGTTTTGCTTTCTCTTAGAGGAGTAAAAATTGAGGAAGTTCTGCAGGTCCTTAGACAAAGGTTTTCAAAGTCAGGCATTGAAGAAAAGAATAGTCGGAAATCCTAGGACAAATGGTATTGTCAATACTTCATCCTCTATGACCTGATTGAATTTACCTCAGTACAAATGAATTAACCTCAGTACAAATGAATTAACCTCAGTACAAATGAATTAACCTTTATGAGGTATGTCTAAATAGGTCCCTGTGGCTTTAACATCATTTGAGATTCTATAGTGTAAAAGTAGAAGGCGGAATACATCGACGGCCCCTTAAACTTGCTGGCATATTTCATTTTCTCGATAAGGCCTGTTCCAATTGAGCACCTGAACACAAGATAAAGTATTCCTGTTATACACTTGTTTTTTTTTCTTGGGGGGGGGGGGGNGGCGGGTCTTGTTTTTAATTAATTGGGTTCTTTTTAGAGTTTTGTTTTTGTTTGTTATAGCAAACGCTTATATATATGATATGGATAATGAAAGGAGGTGGCATATTTTAAGTGGTTAACTTATCCTCGTAATGGGCGCTTTAGAACACGCGCAGAAGCTTTTAAAGGTTTGAGCCCCTAAAGTGTTTAATAGGAACACTTTATCATATGTTCTGGGGCTCAATTGGAACAAGCCTTAGGTCGAGTGTCTAAATGAAATGTGTTGTCAAGTTTAAGGGGTTATCGATGTATTCCGCCAAAATAGAAATTTAGTGTTTATTTTCCGCCTTTTGGCAGAAATGATACCAATGTCCCACTTCTATAACCTGAGACTTTGGTTAGGTATAGTTAATTTACAGTCATAGGTAATTAGCGTCCGCTTTTTTTTATTTGTTATGCCGACAAAACTATCCTTCATTCCCTTTTTACCCAATCTTTATCGCCTGTTAGCTCTCTTTCACAATTACAACCTCCCTTGACAGTGATAATAATATTGTTTGTTTTTTCCTGATTTACTGAAAGTCCTTTCTTCCTTTTATTACACTTTAAAATGGTTTCCTTTCCTGGCGTTATATCCTTTCAACTTCTCTATCCAACCTCAGTTACTCCGAGAGTTGAGCAGAGGATTATTGAACTCAGTTCTATGGTTTCCTTTGCCGACCTTGATCTATCTTCTTCTTTTCCTTTATATGAGTGGCCTACAGTGCGTCGATGTTCTTTTGTTTCTGTAAAAGCCACAGTTCTGCATCTCACCCATGTTTCAAATTAGAGATTTTGTGCTCATATTTGTGTTCCCCTGGTCCGATTATTTGTCCTACGTTGACTGCATAACGAGTAGGAGAGTGTATTCGGTTAGGTCGGTTTGGTTCATTTGAACTATTTTGGTTCAGTATTTGTTTTGAATAGGCTAGCTGATGACTGATTTGGGATACGTTTTGGTTTGGTTCAGTTCCTATTTTGGACTCTGACTTTTTTTGTGGGCTTATACGTTTTTTCCTGTTTGGGCCAATTTTTTCATACATTAAAATGTTACATCTGCTTTTCTTTCGAAAAAGCAATGCCTCCAGGACCTCCAAAAGCACTAAGCTATCTTAAATTCTTTACTTTTATTTCTTTCATCATCACTTTCCTATCCTGTGTCTAATAACAAACCTTCCTTGATTTGCTGGCCTTTCTGTTGTAGTTCCTTACTAGCATTGAAAGGTTACTCTGACTTGGTAACCTTGGTGCAGCTTTTGCTTTCTCTTCATTTTTTTTCAACGATAATTACTCGTTTTTCAACATGTCCTTGCAGGGCATACAGTTGTTGAAGGCCTCATTACGATCCACAAAGGTTCTTAGTTATGTTTTCTGCACAGGAGAGAGGCTTACTCCAGTCCTAATGTCGTAAAGGGAGATCCATGATATGATTGAAGGGAGATCTTTGAATTCTCCTATGTAATATAGACCTTATTAACGATATTGTGCTAAACTATGGGAACATATATGAACAACATTCCAGTAGTCGGCAGAGACAGGAATTGGGGTCATCCAGTGTTAATTTCTCTCTTTTTCTTCATCAGTGTTGTTATTTTTCTAGATGTACCTGAGAAGAATGGTTTGATTATTGTTCAACTCTGTTCATTTTGCATTGAAGGCATTTCTGCATATGATATATAGCAAGTTAAAGTAGACTCAGAGACATGTCCAGACGAGGAAACCTGTAGTAGAATTGCTGGGAAAATCAAAATATAGATTCCAATATCAATGGCAGCTCCACTGTAAGCTTGAAGCTTCTGATGGAGTAAAGATGTGGAATCTCTCTGCTGAAGCATCTTAGACTCTGGATTTCTCTTCCATCTTCTATCATTGGTCATGTAGTGCCTTGGTTCATATTTCATATATGCAACCTGAAAAATCACTTTCATTTCTGGTTCAAAATTGAGCCCTATCTAAGTAAAGCTGTTATTTTTCCGGCCCCAGGCGAGTTTATTCGACCCATTCCCTAGTCTCCCGCACTGCTCAAGTAAGTGTGTGACTTCGTATGAGGACCTCCTTCTCTTCTGCCCACTCTCCGTTCACACGGTTCTCAAAGCAGAAGTGGAAGGGTGGGCAGTAGGTACCACGAGCCCTCTGTCTCACCCATCTATCCAGAAGCAAGTGTAGTTCACCTGTTCCAAAAAGTCCTACTTATTTGGAAGTCTTTAAAAGAATTGAACTTTTTTGGCAAAATCAGCTCAAACAAGCACTTTGAAGAAACTCAAAAACAAGTTTGCAAATTTAGTTTTTTAAAAATTTCAAATAAACATCACCGTAGTTTGTTCGACAAATAGCTGTCACTCAACTAATCTATGTTTCTAAGGCAACAAAAGCAACAAGATATACTTACACTCAGTGTTGAATGGAGGAATAAAATCAGTAGAATATAAGGTATACAATTCACAAGTTGAGACATCAATAACCATAACTAATAGGGAAAATGGTCAAATATATTCCTCTACTTTCTAATATTGTTTATATTTAACCTCTGTTATATTATCCTGTCAAATTTACCCCTACCGTTATACTATCTGGCCAAATTTATCCCTATCATCAGCAAACATTTAAAAATTTCTCCTTGATCTGTTAAATATTCCAAAATCTCCCAAATCCCTTTTATTTAAATCACTTGGTGTTTTTCTTGCTCCATTATTTTCAGAAATTACTATTGATGTGAATGTTAAAGTTACTAGACTATACAAATTATTCATAAATATTTTTAATTACCAATGCACCCACTTCTCTTCTTGTAATAATGGGTTTGGAATTTGTTTAAAATTTATTTATTTTTCAATCATATACACATTGTAGAATTTAGTGGGTCTATTTATTGTGTATTATATGCAGCTGATCATCATGTATGTACATGTATATTCAAATATATTTTGTCATTGCCTGGTTATTATAGAGTTCGATCGACTAACTTAAGAGTGCATAATATGCAGGCATTTGATTAAAGCAAAGTTGAATTTGACAATGTAAAGTTTCCGATGAACTTCAACTTCAATCACTAATACTTGCAAAGTCTCCATACATTTGGTGCAACGAATTCATTAAAATTAGGATGTTGTAAATACTTTTAGACTTTAGAAAAGCTAACTAATTTAGATTTTTCAATTTACAATACTTTGTTTATTAACGGTTGTATTATTTAATATTTTTTTCTCCAATTCAGAAAGCAGGTAAATGCCAATTATTTCGAAAATAGTGGACCAAGAAGAAGAATCAATAACTTAATTAAAATGATTTGGGAGATTCTGGGTCATCTGACGGACTGAAGGGTAATTTTTTAAAGTTTACTGATTATAGGAGTAAATTTGGCCCGATAGTATAACGGTAATGGTAAACTTGACCCGATAGTATAACGAAGGTTAAACATAAATAATATCTAAAAATAGAAGGGTATATTAGAATTTTATGAACAAGATATCTACAGTATTATTTCAATATAGATCAATACAGAGATAGTGTGTGAGTAATATCTTTGTTCAACAAAAACAAAGCTCAAATGAAATAGTGTCACACCTAACTTTGAACCAATGAAATTAATATCAAACTCTGCGGACCTTTCCACTATGTGTCCCCTCCCCCTCCCCCCAAACCCAAACCCAAATCCAAAACTATCATATGAAAATGACTTCCTAAAAACCAAGAAACAACCTTTGAATCCACAGTCCAAATCCCACAAAAATCCTCATTCTATTATGTCTCTCTTTCTCAAACAAATCCTCCTTTTCTCTCTTGTCCCAATTTCCCTCATTTGTCTCTTCCTTCCACTTCACCACTTTCACCACCACACCCAACACCCTTTTCCTACTTTCTCAAACCCTTTTTCACCACCGCCAAAAATAGCCTACTTCATCACTGGAACTAAAAATGATGGCCCAAGAATCTTTAGATTACTTCAAGCAGTATACCATCCAAGAAACTACTATTTAATTCATCTTGACCAATTTGCTTCTAACAAACAAAGACTGGAACTTGCTTTGAAAGTGGGTTCTGTGGATGTGTTTGTTGCAGCTGAGAATGTGAATGTTATTGAAAAAGCTGATGCTGTGAATCAAGAGGGGTCGAGTCCTTTGGGTTTAGTGCTTCACGGTGCTGCTGTTTTGTTGAGGTGGAAGAATGATTGGGATTGGTTTGTTAATCTTGATGCCTCTGATTATCCCCTTATTCCTCAAGATGGTGAGTGAATTTTCTGCTTTTATTTGATTGTGTTACACGTTTGAAAGAGTGGGTGCTGTCTATTATCTTTGCTTGTCGTAGTTTGACTTGACACAAAATTTAGTTTAATACTAAATTGTGGTCTTAAATACGCCATAGCATTTGTGTGACCATAAAAGGAAGGAAATATTGGATATGTGTTTTTTTTTTGGCGGGGCGGATGTAGCTTAGGAATAATGGGTTCATCTGAATTCAGTACTTTCGACGCGGAGTATAAATTTACGTGTAAAAGTTCACTACGATTGCAATAAATAGCTGATATGTACCTTTAACTTTAAAAATATTATTGAATCCTTAAAGCTTAAATCTTGGATTCGATTCGCCTCTGCTTTTTGGAATTGACTAGTTAAGAAATAGAGCCACCGAGGGAGTGTAAATTTAAAAACTTCCATTTCGAGCTGAGAGTAGTGGGTTTTGCTGAATCCCCATAGTAACAATTTTCAGCTTACAGTTGACGAGATTTTAGCATTTGCTGAAAACTGCAGAAAGGTAGGGGTGGGGAAAGGCCTTTCAGCTGTTACATTTTGAGATAATTGAGAGTAAAAGCACCCCAAGGGTGTGGCCTAGTGGCCAATGAAGTGGGAGGAGAAAAATGAGGTGTCAAGTTCAAATCCTAAAGGAGGCAAAAAAAACATAAGGTAATTTCATCCCATCTGCCTAAGCTTTGGTGGGTAGAGTTACCGGTGCTTATGCTAGTGGGAGATAGCGGGTACCTGGTGGAATAGTTGAGGTGAGCATAAGTTGGCCCAAACACCCCGTCATAAAAAAATAATAATTAAGCTGATTAGAACTTGTTAAAGTTTAATTCAGTTATTTATTGTAGGTTTGATTAAACCAAGCATGGGTTAGTAAGTTTCATGAGCATTTATGAGAGTTTCCAGATATTGACGACATAAAATTGATGGTCAAGCTTGTGAAATCAAGTGAGGTTAAGCTGCATTTTTTTGATAGGTGAATAAGGTTAAGCTGCATTTATTGTACTACAATGGAATACATCATTCTATCAACTAAGCCTCAATTCCAAATTTGTTGGGTTCGGCTATATGAATCCTCTTTATTGGTTCAGCTCTTTTCAGACCTATTTTTTTCTAATACTAAATATTTTGACTTTTAAGGCAAATATGGGGTTCTCCAAAAATTAGAGGTTCTCTATATCTCACAGTCGGACGAGGACATACAAGTCTTTAACCAGAACAAAAGAACACCTAATAAACGCGGGATCTAATGTAAGTGGCAATCAACAATAAGTAAACTTACATTGCTACCAAATTCACTAGTTGTACTTCAAGGGAGCGAACAAAATGAAAAGAGCAGAAACATAGATGCCATCAAGTGTTAATCCATTTTCTAATCGATGAATGATGACATAAAGTTGATCGTCAAGGTTGTGGATTCCATGTGAGGTTAAGTTTTATTGTTGTATTTCAAGGGATTCTAATAGAAACTTTCCAGGGAGTAAGTGAAAACAAAAGTATACCTCATAAAAAAAGAAGGAAAACAAAAACATATCCCATTAAGGCAGAGTCCATTTCTATCTTGCGGTGATTGCTCTAAAGCTTATCATTTGCTCCTATGTACTGTATTCAGCATTTTGCGTTATTTACATATGGAAGAGTTAAGTTAATTTTCTAGCACTAACGGCAACTAAGGATGCAATAAGTTGCTCACTAAGATTCAAGCTTGGGCCCAAATCCGACTTTTTCCATGCTAAAGGTAATGACAATTATATAGCTGCAGATAAGAAAGAATAGAGCACTGATCCTTAAGAATGGAAGAGTCCCCTAATGATCTCATCACTAAGCCAAAACGTCTAGTGTCAAAATGTCACAAATCTCTTCTTTGAGGTGTCATTAGTATGATTGAGTTTTATTGATTATGTAGAGGGCAATATATTCATCAGTAAGTAGTTTTTGGGGTCATATACACATCCTTGTCATTTCGTAACAGCTTAGTGAAATTCAGTTACTTGTTGTAGGTTTGATTCGGCTGAGCATGGTTTAGCAAATTTCATGCGCTCTTTTAGAGTTCCCAAAAATTGAGGAAAATTGATGGTTAATCCTGTGAAATAGAGCTGAGGTTAAACTGCATTTATTGTATTACAAAGGAATAAATCATTCGATCAACTAAGCCTCAGTTCGAAATTAGTTGTGTTCGGATCCGGCTATACAGATCCTCTTTACTCATTCTAAAAGCAAAAAGTATATCCCTTTTAAGGTATAGTCCGTTTCTATCTTGCAGTGATTCCTCTAAGGCTAATAACTTGCTCCCATATAATGAATTTAGCACTTTCCATATTTGCATATGGAATGTAAAGTTAATTTTCTAGCACTAGCCACAACTAAGGATGCAGTAAGTTTCCCACTAAGAATCAAACTTGGGCCAATTCAAACATGTTCTATACTAAAGGTAGTGACAAACGACAGTTATGTATACTTGCAACAAATAAGAAAAAGTCGGCTACTGATCGTTAAGAATTGAATAGTCCTCTAATGGCTCATCACTAAGCTAAGATGTCTCGAGTGTCAAAATGTCACAACTCTCTTCTTTGTGGAGTCATTAATCCGTATGAGTTTTATTGGTTATGTTGCGGGCATCAGTAAGTAGCTTTTAGGGTCATTACCACTTCCTTGTCATTTCATATAAAATTAATCAAAGTGTAGTTCCTCAAGCTTGTTTTAACTCCTGATAGCATTCATACATAGTGCATGATATACTGGTTTCGCCCCTCTTGTAGAATGTGGAATGGAACTCATGCCGTTGATGTTATCTCTCAGAAGCCTGCCATTATCTCATGCTTGCGCTCTCGTTCTTTTGTTTGCCTTCCCTAAAATTCTTATTAAACTTAAAGTGAGGTGTCTCATAGTGTTTTTAGCTTCATTATTTACTTCAAAACTGTCTCGAGTTCATCATAGTATTGATATGATGTCTACACACCCTAATAATAACTGTAGATTTTTCATCTATATTAGAGCTGATGCATTAAATGTTACATTTCTTGCAGATTTTCTCCACATCCTGTCTTTTGTTCCAAGGAATTTGAATTTCATAGAGTATAGTAAGAATACCAGCCTGGATGAGTAAGTAATATTATACTTTCGGAGTCCTTCACACTTAATTGCTGTTTTGCAATTATTTAAAGATGCTAATGTTTGTTTTTTGTTTTCAGACATCAAAGGGCTGTGGAAGTTATCGTTGACTCTCGCCTCTACATTCTCTTAAAAGGAAAGATGTTTGTAGGTGACAAAAAACGGGAACTTCCTAGTGCTTTTAGATTTTTTATGGGTAAGTTTCTTGCCAGATCATTTTCGGTTTCCGTTTATCTGGGCTAGTAGTTTGTCCTCCTCTAATGACGCTGAAGCTGAGATTGCCAATCTGTGATGCTAATCATTAGTCTTCTTTTCAATATGGGAAATTCATTTGTTTTAAGAGGTTATCTCGACGTTTTTGTCGGCAATGTGCCCTGGAGCTGAGATACCTCATCACGATAAAGACAACTTCATGTTCATGTGTGAGCTCTATCTGTATTAAATATGACTGCTTTTGGAGTTTAAGCTAGTTAAGTAAATTTCAAGGTTAGTCTTGCAAAAGATTCATATTCCCTCTGTCCCAATTTGTTTGATGCATTTCGGATTTCGAGAGCCAAATGAGTTTTTCTTTGACCATGATTTTTTCCGTATGCTTTTTAAAAATTTTGAATTCTTAATTATTGTGACTTATAGTACTTTTGATTAGTTTCCAAATATGTAAATTTTATTTCAAAAAACTTAAGGATTCCATGTCCAAATCGCTGTCAAACATGAAAAGTGTTAGTTTACAGCATGTATATAGTGTAGTATTGTCCCACATTGGTAGAAGAGTAGTATGTCCTTGTATAGTATAGCTATAAATAAGGACCTCTTGTATTGTATTGCTAATTCAATATCAATAACATATTTTCTCCCGTGCCTTCTCACATGGTATCAGAGCAATTGTGAGAGACTTATCGTTGTGCATAAATTCCAGCGATTCCGGGAAAGAGAAATCAATACTTTTTTAAGGCTGTTTTCTATCTACTTCATTTCTGTCAGTGTTGTGCAAAATCCAACACTACCACAAGAGTCGTCACTGTCCGGCGACCAAACCCCAGTGAAAAACTCCGGCAGCAGCCTCCTCGCGCGCCTCCTCGCGCCACCAGAAGCTCACGCGCCGGCGCGTACGACCACTTCCGGCCATTTTTTGA